TAGTAAGTATGAAATGATTCTGTGCCTAGTTAAATGATATGTGACATTAATCTGAACACAATATTAAAAATGTGTAGACTAAATACATTGAAAAATGTTTTCCTTTTTCAACCTGAACAATTTTGACAATCACTCCAGGGTGTTGCCAGTGAATAACACTTGTCATGACTCCACGAAATAGTTTCCCAGCTAAACTTTCTAAAACTTTACTCATGTTGTTATTCTGTAACCTACTTTACATTGATTTAATCAATCTCCCTTGAACACATAAAAACTTAGTTCGCGCTCTTAAAATGTTTTATAATAGCACATTTAATAAAGCTAATTTAAATCCGCTAATTTACAGAGATTTGCCCGAGGCTTTGAAACTTCAGAAAATGTGTAAACTTAACAGTTTGGCTGTGATAACAGCTCAGACAGTGGAAATTAAGCCCGTTGCATTACAATCATGTTCAAAGTGGCTTCCTAGTTTTATTGCACAGAAAAGTACATTTCAAAAAAAAAATAGAAGAAAAACAAATTTACAAAAGATATTTCAGGGCTAAGACATATATTCACCCAAGTTTGTCTTTTCAGATCAACATGCCACAATTCTTGAATTTGGTCACTAGTCTGCCTCAGCATCACAGCCCCAAACATACGCTGAGGTCTCCCATTTTAAGACTACGTGGATTCTTTTTTACAAACAAATGTTGGACAAATAAGAGCAGTTTCTCATGCAATGAACCTCCGACAGAGCTGTGGGATAGTGCGCTTAGGCCATTACTCCTGGGTCCCTAATCCTATTTGTCAGTCTTCCAACTGATGCTCTATAGGTTTGGTACTGTCTGCTCTAATTTCTACCTCTGGAAACCAAATGATAATAGATTATATGCCAGTGTGGGAATAGGCAGATTGGTTAGGATCCAGGCTGTATCCCCCGTGACAGCAAGAAGCAGCAGTGAAAAAAAGGATTCAGCTCTTCACGGGGATGTATCAAGGAGTTTCATCTCTACTAGAGGAATCCTTCACTTTATGCATAGCATTTGGATGGTATCTAAGTGATCATTATCATCATCTGATTTGCAGAAAATGTCAGCTTTCCTTGAAGACACAGTTGAAATTTTTAGGGCTACTGTTGCAGACCTCTCCCCAGATTGTTATATGGGAGAAGGCAGTAAGACCTACCCCATGAAGACTCATAGGGTGGCTGCCTTTTAAGGGGTATAACCTTATCACTTTGAACCTTTTTTCATATCTGTGAAGTTCAAGCCATCTTTTTTAAATTTTTTCCTGCTAACGGCATCAAATTATTCACAAATGTAATCCGGAATATATTCTTGGACAAGGTTTTTTTTAGTCTCTTCCCCTGCTTCAATGCTCTTTCTCTTGGTTCTGTCATTGCTTTCCCTCCTGCTTTTGTGTACTGAGAAACAGAATTAAGGTGTACTGCAACCAGTGGACACTTGCATAAACAACCTGTTTTGAATAAAACAGCATGATCTAGGGAGAGGAAGAACACATTCAGCTTTCCTGCCCAAATGGTAAAACATATAAGAGGTTCATATACTATTGCTCTGACACCACTGAAATGCAAAGGCTGTGAATAGCAGAAAAATGTGAATAAACTGACTTGGGAGCATAAAAGCACATTAATTCCCAGGTTCTGAAACCGCAGACAGAATGTTTTATATTTGTCATTTATTTAGGACTTTTTTCGGCAAATACATTTGTAATGAATCTCCTTCACACATTTTTATGCACGAGAGCTTAAGTTTGCCTGGACTTCTATAAAACAACTTTTACTGCATCAAATTACTGCATTCCTCGATCTCTACCAGCACACGCTCACAGCAGCCAGCCACACTCATACACAACGAACAGCTCTAGGATTTCATAGCTCTCCAACGGCTACTTCAAAAAGAAGATTTTTTTTTTTTAAATTAATACGGTTGTGAAAAAGAAAGCAAATGTAACAGTTTTGCCCTGCCTCCGGCATTTCACAACTGATGTTGACTTAAAATTAGCACGATCTTCTGCAATACTTGTATCTCCATGTAAAACTTCTTCATAGAGAATTCAGGCAGAATCGTGAGCTGTCAGCTCTGATCGCATTCACCAGCACACAGGCTTTAGACTCTATTTCATAATAGGAAAAGATGGCCAGCGTTTTCCTGACAGAAGTATCGTATATTTTTCAGTCAGTAAAAATTATAGAGAGAGCTCATTGTCAATGCATTTCCCATAGATAATGAGGACTGCAAATTATCAGGCACGGATCTTTTTGGTACACGGAACAAAAACCAGCACAATCTGCAGAACTTATTAACTAATCGGGTTTTAAAGCCCTTCTTTGCATACTGCCGACATGGTCAGAGTAACCTATACATTGATCTTATTCCAAAAGCACAGTAATCTTTATGCTGCAAGAATTATAGTTTTGTGTGCCATAGCATACAGTGCAAAAAAAAAAGAAAAAAAAAAAAAGAAAAAGAAAAAAAGCCTTTAGGAAAGGCATGTGCTGAACACACACAAAATATGCAGGATGGAAAAAGACCAAATGTAATTAAAGCTTATATGAAACCAGACATTCCTATTTGCAGAGCTCTGGCTGCATTTCTATGAGAAAGAATGCACAGAATTTCAAATCATGCTCTATTTAGACAATGTCAGAATAAAACCACATTCCCCCCACTCCACCACCCCAAGACTCCAAAAGGCAAATCTCATCATCAGAATTAGAGAGAAAAAGCAATCCAAAGATCCTGGTTTACATATTCCTTCCCAAACCAAGAAATCAAGTATCTCCCTCTCCCGGCTAATAGCTTATAAATTCAGACTTTAAACAAAAGAAAAAAAAAAAAAAAAAAAAAAAAAATAATTTTAAAGAATCCTAATTCTCAAGCTTCCTACTTAGCACTGCCTCGCTGTTGATGATTTGTGCGGCTGTGTGTGCGTGCGTGTTTGAGAAATGGCGAGATAGGCTTAAAGTATTTTCCATTTCATCAAAGAGCATATATTACTTTCCTGGTTCGCTCAAACGTTGGTTTTATGCCCACCCCTTTTCAATCTGCCCATGTCTGAGATGCACAGTGCAGGCGTACAATCATGAGCAGCTTACGACACTCAGTGAACACTAGGTGCCTCTGCATGCTCTAGCAACATACTGCTCAGCTGAAGGGAAGGGATTCTTGCTGTCTCTCTCTGCTCTAAGCATCACCTAACAAGCAAAGCGAACAAAGAATGGGAAATAAAGCTACCCTTAGCCGGTCAGTGAATGAATGGTAATCTCTCTATGGAGTAAAGGTTGTGCCGGTCAATGGTCGTTGCAAATGATGGACATTAAACAGATTGACAAATCCTGTGGAGTCGTTAGTAAAGAGTTTGGAGTTTTTTTCACGCCACAGTGTTAACTGCAGAGAAAAGGACAGAGGGAGAAGGAGAAGATCAAGCTCATGTACATAGTTCTGAAACTTGCAGGTCCTAGGAGTCAGCTAAAAAGCTAGCTGGACAAGCCTTTCGCTCTTTGAGCAGAAGCGAAGTGAGACATTGTGAGCTTGCCAGCCTTGCACAAAATTGAAAGGGACTGAATTTGTAGCACAGAGGGGTCTTTTTTAGCTCTGCATATAATTAGTCCAAACACAAAGGAAGCAACTGAATGGAGGTTGTCATTCTCTGGAAAAGGGTGGGTAAGACACTTTTTAATTAAATTCTTTCATGAAGAAAGATTTTTTTTTTTCTTTGCTGCAGCATTTAACATGAACAAAATCACTATCATTTTACCTTTGAATGTCTGTGAACTTTAATGCTGCACAGCTCCTGCATGCTGTAAAGTGAAATATTTGCCTCTGTGTTTGTTCTGTTTGCTGTTTTGCTTTGGTTTTCTGGCTTGGTTTTGGGTTTTGGTTTGGGTTTTTTTTTTTCCCTTAAATAAAATATGATGTAGAATTTGAAAAGATTCAATGGACATTCTCAAGCATATTTGGAAATATTCTTGCTAATGGATTTCCTTCTTATTGGTCTCTGTTTAAACTGGCTGCTGAGGAAGCCCCCGGGGTTGATATTGTGTACGCTGGGTATCTTTTCTAAAATGCTTCCAGCCGTGAATAGTGGGTGTCCACAGCTATGTCGGTGTGAGGGCAGGCTTTTGTACTGTGAATCACTGAATCTTACAGAGATGCCTCGCAACCTGTCGGGCATGATGGGCTTGTCTCTGCGGTACAACAGCCTTTCAGAGCTGCATGATGGACAGTTCACAGGGTTAATGCAGCTCACGTGGCTCTATCTGGATCACAATCACATTTGCTCAGTGGAGGGGAATGCCTTTCAAAAATTGCGGCGAGTTAAAGAGCTCACCCTGAGTTCCAACAAAATAACCCAACTGCCCAACACTACTTTCCGACCCATGCCAAACTTGCGCAGTGTGGATTTATCATACAACAACCTACAGTCTTTGGAGCCTGACCTGTTTCACGGGCTGAGAAAACTAACAACTTTGCACATGCGGTCGAACGCCATCAAGTTCGTGCCAGTGAGAATTTTTCAGGACTGTCGCAGCCTGAAGTTTCTAGACATAGGATACAATCAGTTAAAGAGCCTGGCTCGAAACTCTTTTGCAGGCTTGTTCAAACTCACTGAGCTGCACCTCGAGCACAATGACTTGGTGAAGGTGAATTTAGCCCATTTTCCCAGGCTCATCTCCCTGCACTCTCTCTGCTTGCGAAGGAATAAAGTTACCATCGTAGTAAACACTTTGGACTGGATATGGCAACTTGAAAAAATGGATCTCTCCGGCAACGAAATCGAATACATCGAACCTCACGTTTTCGAAAGTGTACCTCACCTCAAATCCCTGCAGCTGGACTCCAACCGGCTGACCTACATCGACTCCCGAGTCCTCGACTCCTGGAAGTCCCTCACTAGCATCAGCCTTTCTGCAAACGCCTGGGACTGCAGCCGTAACGTTTGCGCCCTGGCCTCCTGGCTGAGCAACTTCAAGGGTCGCTACGACAGCAATCTGCTCTGTGCCACCCCTGAGTACGCACAGGGCGAGGATGTTTTGGACGCGGTGTACGCTTTTCACTTGTGTGAAGACTCGGCAGACCCAACGAGCTTTAACACCTTCTCCCCGGTAACGAACAACAGCGACCAAACGTTCGGCTACGGCTCCGCCACCGCCACGTACGACGTGCAGGACAGCGAAGGGGACCAAACGACCTACGCCATAACCGTGACCATGCCCGGTGAGAACTCGGAGAACGCCGTTCAGATTCACAAGGTGGTGACGGGGACCATGGCGCTGATTTTTTCCTTCCTCATCGTGGTTTTAGTGTTGTACGTCTCCTGGAAGTGCTTTCCAGCCAGCTTAAGGCAACTAAGACAGTGCTTTGTAACACAGCGCAGAAAGCAGAAGCAAAAACAGACCATGCATCAAATGGCTGCCATGTCAGCCCAGGAGTATTACGTTGATTACAAACCCAACCACATTGAGGGAGCCCTGGTGATCATTAATGAGTACGGATCTTGTTCCTGTCACCAGCAGCCAGCGAGGGAATGCGAGGTGTGATTTTCCTTGGGGATTTAAACAGTGTGCAACCAAATAACAGCGTGCAGGCAGAGAGTGGCACGGGGGGGGGTTGCTGTGCTTTGCTGGTGATTTCTGACGTGCTCCTCTGCCAAAATTGTTAAGAGGGGCTGTCTAAAAGACTTGATATTTTAGCTTTATCGTGTCTTAAAAATCTTCAGGACAGTCAATCTTAAGATTTCATATGCTAATACTCCCTTTGAAGATCTGTCAATATTCAGGAATCTGAGAGTGTAAAAAGGTACCAATTATTGATCTTTTGTAAACTAAGAAAACTGTTTAAAATAAAAAAAAAATAGCATTTACAGTTTTTACAGACTGGTGTATATTACATGAATTGTTCCCTGTATACAAAATGCAACAGTTTAACCTCTTTTTCTCTTCATACCGAGTGTTGAAATGAAAGTCTAGGAGCAAAGAAGCCACGTAAAATAGCAAGCTTAAAATTAACCAGATGGCTTCACATTGTAATTAGTACACATTCACTTACATCATGTTACTGAAGATATGAAGCATGACACTGGAATTCTATTTTTGTTAATGTGCTACCTGTAACTGGATGTCAATACCACAAGGAGCCAGTGGACCTCAGAAAGGCTAAAGTTTTGACTGTGTCCCTGGGACAGGATTTCTGAGGATTTTTAAGTACCGTTCACTTGTTAGTTGCTGTAAGATCCATTAAAACTGCATCATAACCCCTAGAGGTATTTTGTATCAAACCTGATCATACTGCAAAGTCTCGCTTAAAAGGAAAAACAAGAAACAACAAAACCCAAACAAACGAAACACTGCCAAAAAAAGTGCTTGCTGTCATTTTCTTTAAAACCAAACAGACAAAAAACCTAAATTTAAGGGCTTTTACTAGCGTTTCCCACTTTTATGCTTGTTTTTAGATATGCTAAGAGCAAAGAAACCCTTGCTTTGTGCACTGTGGTGCCACGGTGAAGGGGGAAGAGCAAAAGCTATTTGGGTCTCAGTGGTGAAACCTGTGTGTTGCCAGTCAAAGCTCAGCTGTACCACTGTCAGAGTAAGACCGAGAGTTATTAGAGCGTACTTCTGGGTCCTATAGCAAACTGCTAGCAAAGCCTAACTCGTGTCCCTCGCTTTCACCAGCAGCCTTCACTAACAAAACAACTCTCAAATCTCTGCAGAGGCTGAAAGTATAGGAACCCTCCTTACTAATGACTGCTAAATGGAATTGATGGCTATAAGCAGTGATTCGATACTGTAGAGTCACACAGCTGTTTTATTTGACTGCCCTTAAATAAAGGCTTCCTTTCCTCGTATTTGGGATTTTTCATTCCAGTATGTGAACAACCTACTGAATGATCTTTTCAACAACTCCTCTCATGCTAATGAAGACGAGGTAGTTTTATAACATCAGGCAGAGCATCTTGAAATTTTCTTCATACAGCATTACATGCTAATAAAATGTTACAGATAATGAAGTGGGTACCACATCTATGCTTTGTACATATTTCTCTATCCTTAGGCTACCACAAATAGAGGAAAAAGTCAGAAATCTAAAATATGTTTTAATTTAACACAGGCTTTTTTCTTTTTTTATAGCATCGAAGTGCCACCTACCCTTAAAAGGCTACAGCAGACTTATAAAGCAGAGGATAGGCACAGAATAAACCATTTTTTTTCCTGCACGGCAGGTTTTAGCCATTACTTTTAAACTTAAAGAGTGAATTTTATATTTTTTTCTGACTGACACTGTTTTTAAGGAGTCAGAACTGATTTTCCTCTATTTGGTACATCTCAACCTGTTTAATATTAAATATGACGATAGCCTCTTAAGCAAAATTTTTATTTAGTGAGACTATAATGTCATCTGTGAAAGCAGTGAGACTATGTATCGGGAGAGGACTTTTTTCACAAGAAATTTAATGAAAATCAACTGCTGTTTTAGTAAAGCCACTGAAAATTCACCCACGGCTTTGAAACAAGCCAGTGCTGTTAAAACTAGGCTTTTCTCTCTTTAAACAAATGCCCATTTCTGTTTCTGTGCCTCAACCCCACAAGGGCCTGACCCATCCTGAAACTCCCAAGTGACCTGAGGGGTTGAGCGCCCAGATATGAACCTAAGAGTGAGGGCAGAGAGTAGGTAAGGATACCCTTGTATCTTTGGGTGCCTGATCCTATTTTAAGAGAAAATGCTTTATCCCATGCTAACTGAGGGCCAAATTGTATGTATTTTCCCCATTAAACCCTTCTCTGAGCTCAATAGGGAATTGAACTGTGAGAAATTGGCTCTCTCACTTTGGACTATGCTATATGTTCCTCAAATCAACATGCAGCACTGCAGCCAGAAGGACTGCTTTCAGCTAGTTGCCAGGAAGCTTCCAAAACCAACCAAGACTGTTAAAATGTTGTCTGTATATGGTAAAAAAAATACATATGAATTAGCTTTATTTCTATAACAACCCCTTGTTGCTATAAGGGAACGTATTAGTTCAGTCATGGTTTTGCCCCTGTGAAGCTGATGCAAGACTGATACTGACAAACAATCATCCCGTGGTTGTATTTCTATGTATTTTTAGCATATTTGTGGGTTGTATTTTAAACACACTAGCGATTGCACCCCTCTGGAATTAGTCCTGCTGTTTATTGGTGTTAGCAACCTCAAGCTATGTTTGCAAAGATGTGAGCAATTCCGCCTTTGGAATTTATTCACCTCTGTGCTTCATGCATCTTGCATTGACAGCTCAAGTAAACCGAAGAGAACATTTTTCTTTAAAGGTGCAGTGATTTCCTAAGTGAGAGCCGATTTCGGTATTGCCTGTTGCCGTTTCTCCTGAAGAGAGGTAATGACCACCAGTGACTTGCCACCCTTAGCAGGGTGATGGATGGATCCTCCATATAGAGCACAGCACTTATTAAACTTCAGAAAATGCTATATTTCAAAATCTTCATACGGAAATTTTTTCTAAGTGTAATATCTTCTAGAGACAACCTCCTAATGGTCTCCAGAGGATATCTGGAGATCTGGATACCCTCTGAATATCTACTGGTGGAAAGAGGGGTGTCACTGCTGTTGCATGGCATGAAGGTACTCCACAGGGTGCCCCCATCTAGTCTGAAAGTTTACATGAAAAATATATGGATTGTAAAGAAATAAAGGAGCAAATATTTCATTTCAATCCAGCCATTGCAAACCCAGTTATTCATCCTGCTCCAGGCTGCTTGCATTGGTATGTATGAGCGTTATTATATTTGTACTGCATTTATAGCAACTGCAGGGACAAATTTTCCCTAACTCCTTCTTCCAAATTTCGTGTTCACCAACTGTCCAGAGATGTGTCATTCCCTCTCTTTTGATGCCCTTATTCTGGCTTATGAAATGGCTCCAGGAAAAAAAAGGAAGAAGAAAAAAAAAAAAAAAAAGCTTTTGGGGTTAGTTGTGACAGTTTGTTGTTCAGGAGATGCTTGGGGAATATTGAAGGAATGCAAATATTTAAAATATTCCCCTTTTAATGTTCCACTTAATAGGACTAATCTCCCTTTTATAATTAGGTAATTAACATTATTTTCTTTTTACTTAAGTGTCTTTTAACATACAAGACAGGGTGAAAGGCAAGCAAAAGAACTACCTTTTTTGAGGATGGTTAACACTACCACTGTTATAGATCTCTAATATGCAATCTCTTGCTGCTAACATCAATACACACTTACAGTGCACCCAGTGATGAAGGAACTGTTGCTGTGTATGCTTTGAATGTATATGAGAGATGATTTATTTTCCTTTCTGCTTTTTTTCTTTCCTTTCTGTACTACTTTAAAAAAAAAAAAAAAAAAAAGAGTGATATGAAACCACAAAAGCAATGCTAATGTACCACATTCTGTTTCTGGCCTGAATATATAAAATACAAAGAAACTCTGTGTTAAAGCTGCAAATTCCCTCCTTTACCACACTGTTTAAGTACTGCAGGGGGTTAGACCAAGGGGATGAGCTGTTCCTCCATGTGCACAGCAGCAGCTAGACGCTCTGTACCGGTCTGAAGATGCAGTCCCATGCCTGCTTCCTAACTGCCTTGGATACGTGTGCCAGAGAAAGACCATCAATGATTCCTAAGGATATTTTTGTATGCTTTAAAAAAATTCTGTATGTTTTTATGGCTGAGGCATTGAGGGGCACTTGAAATGAGCCTATTTGATCGTTTTTCTTTGGTTCTGATAAAAAGCCCCTCATTTGCTTTTGAGATGGACTAAATTTATTTCTTGTGTCTCATTCTGCATTAATAGCAAAAGGACACTGAATACCCCTCCCCTTCCCCCCAGCTCCTCCAACGTATTCAGAATGGCAAATAAAAAGGAGTATTTAATTAGGAAGCTTATTTCCAGTGCTATAATAATAATAA